CGCCCCGCCCGGTCCCGCTCGCCACCCGCTGCGGCCCCCGCGCGGCGTCCCCGAAGATTGGGGTCCCTGTGCCGTTCTGACCGAGAGCCGCGCGCCCCCTGAGCTGGAGGCAGGCACCGGGCGCTCGCTCCGGGCCCGAGCCCCTCTCCTCGGCGTGCTCCTTTTATTGCACCCGGGGGAGAAGGAGCTTTGCTCTCGGCGCCTCTGTTCCCGGACTCGGCTCGCGGCGAGAGCTCTGGCAGCTTTGAACTTAGCGCCACTGGTAGCTTGCCGGCCGGCCGCAGCTGCACAACCTTGCAATACCTCCACCCAGAGGACGGCTGTTGAACTCCCTGCCGGAGTGTGTCCTGACTGTGTAAATATTAAGTACGAAGACCGTGGCTGTGAATCTCCGACGCTCTGCGTGTCCTCGTGGGCGAAGCTACTGCCCGAGAATCCAGTGACTGTCCCAGGAACCAGCTCTTACTATCTTCCTGCTTTGGGACGGGTCTCAGAGTCTCTGTCGCTAGATAATCCCCAAGAGGGCGTCCACTTTGAACGGTGTGCAATTATGTTACAGGGTCCCTTAATTAGTGCCCCTTTTATGAACCTACTGTAAAGATTAATAATGTGTGAATCCGAGGAAAGACACTGTGCCTTCCGGGACAACTGTCACCCAGAAAATATTGAGCAGAGCCAGACCCCTTCAAAGATGGGAAAGGTGTTATTATGAATCTGGGAAGATACGAACATCTTGCCTCTCACACTAAGGGATGAGCGTTGTAATAATCAGTGATAAACTAAGCAGACTTCAGCTCATGTAAATGATGATCATGGACACACGTATAATGATAGTCTTTGTTAATATGCTTTATTTATTTATTTTTTAATCCAGTTCTTGAACAAAAATCCAAGGTTCTGGATGTCTGGGCTTGTGGAAATGTCTCTCTCACACACACACGTACACACGCAAAGTACTCTATGGGAGCTATCAAAAAATTTCTGAAACCAGATGGGAGTAAACATCTATAAAATATCGTTTTTAAATTCAATTAAAATAAGTGTCGAATGTTGGCTAAGTGCAAGACAACAAGCTAGGTTGCTAGGTATTTAATGGGAAGATAAGCATATCCGAGTTTTCCAGGAGTGGGTGGGAGTGAGGAGCTAAGCAGAACCAGGGCTCAAATTTTAAGTCGGGGTGAGAGCATTTCCCAAGGGCATTAGAGGAGGTAGAGGTCCCTTCTAGTGGGAAGAGCAGGACTTCATGGGATGACGGGAAGGCTTCAACAGAGCAGATGGTAGGTCAACAGGAGGTAGGCAATAAAGAGACGTCACTGTGGGCAGAGACAGCAGCCTGAGAGTGGATGTTTAGATCTCAGACCTGCGCACACTTTTCAGGGAAGCCTTTTCTGACTCCAGCACCAGGGCGATTCCCCTGCAGTATGCTCTCATGGTACCTTGAACCCTTTCCTCACGGAATTATGGGAATTCCATCTTTCTTCTCCTTTCTGGGTGGCTTCAGCAATGCCTGTCTTCTCCACTGGAATGTAACGTCCGCAAGGGCAGGGCTTTTGTCTGGTTCTGTTCACCGTTACATTTCCAGTGCCTGGAACCAAGGAGACGTTCCGGCAAACTGGTTGGGTGAATGGGAACCACAAGTAGTCCCGTTGGATATATCCCATCTACTTTCATAAAGACCATCTTTGTATCCACTAGTGGGTATCTGACTGCAAGGAACAGAAACTCAACAATGGCTTAATCAAATATGAATTTATTTTTCTCTCACTCTAAGAAGACTGGAAGTTGGCCATTTTACATTTAGTTCAGCAGCTCAGTGATGTCATCAAGGACCCAAGCTCTTTGCATTTTCCCATCTATTATTCTTAGGGTATTGGCTTTTTTACTTCATCATAAGTGGTTGAAGCCAGTCCTAGCTTACCCCTTTGCCATTCTCTTCTACCAGACCTTCCAAGTCCCCAGTCTCTCTTGCAGCTAGGGGCAGCCACGTGATTCAGTTCTGGCCAATAGAATAAAATAAATCTGCAGAGTCTAGAAAAGATATTTTGCCTCCTGATAAAGGAAACAAATAAGAGAGAGGAGCTTTCTGGTGCCCCCATTTCCTGTGTTTGATTGTGGTCATGGTGCCTGGAGCAGTGGCAGCCCTCTCACGACCATGAGGCCTTTCTCCTATTGAACTGAAATAGATCTCTGGGGCGCATGGGTGGCTCAGTCAGTTAAGCATCTGCCTTCAGCCCAGGTCATGATCCCAGGATCGAGCCCCAAGTTGGGCTCCCTGCTCAGCCAGGAACCTGCTTCTCTCTCTCCCTCTGCCCCTCCCCTGTTTGTGCTCTCTCTCTCTCACTCTCTCTCTAATTGAATGAAATCTTTAAAAAAAAAAAAAGGAAAGAAATAGGTCTCCTTTTAAAACTTTGTTTTAAAGTTCAGTCCTATGGTCCTACACAGAATGTGTCTAAGACCTTTCCAGAAAGAGAGTTTTTCTTTCACTTAAAGATAGAAATCAAGTACCTTCTAAATCTCCTCTTTCTCGAGCTAACTACACCCACTGTCACCTTCTATCTCCATTTTATTCACCTGTTTCTCAGACCACAAGGTCTTTCAGACTTACCATTATTCTGGTTATTTTTTCTCTAGAGAGGCCCCAGTTTTGAGTAGATGTTAGGGCATATTGAAACCATTTTTTCTCTTTTTCCAACCACTGTTATTTTATTAACGTAGCCCAAGATTGACTTTGCTTTTTTGGCATTTACATTGCACCAATGATTCACATTAATTAATTTTTTTAATGTAGTTTTTTCCTTTTTTTTTTAACATGAATTTTATACTGGTTTCCTCCATCCTGTGCTTTCCAGCTATATTCTTTTTCTTCCTTTTTTTTTTAATCCGAGTACAGGCCTTTACATTTTTTTCCCCACTGATTATTATGATGCTTTTGGCCCATCTTTTCATCCTGTTGAAATATTGCTGCTTTTGCCCTTGTCCAAGTTTTCCAAATTAAATAAGCATGGTTTCTGTCTTAATTCAAATCATTAATTTTAGTAAGTCATATTCATTCGAATAGGGCCAGATTCTAGAGTGCTAGGCCCAGAATGGGAAAAGTATTTCCTTATTGCTATTAACCCTTTTGGTGTGTGCTTGTTCAAGTAGTCAGAGGCGTTCGTGTCTACCCTCCACGTCTTCAGCATGCCTACAAGCATTTCTCGAGAGACTTTTATCACCTACCTTTCCGAAACCAAGATACACTGCCCGTGGCTTCCTCCCACCTGCCGGTCTGATCGCCTGATCTGAAGATCCTACAGAGAGCTCGGTTTGGCTTTAGAACATCCAAGCTGACGTACTATAAATTCCTCGCATCCTTTGCTCAGCACCTAGATTCTACTTCACTTGATCCTTAGCATATTGGTGCAAAATAGGTGTTGCTCTCCCCATTTAACAGGTGAAATCATTGAGGCATTGAGACAAAGAGATGTATGATGGCTACTCTGTACAGAGTGTTTACCCTGCACCAGGCATGATTTGATGTTCAAAATACCCCTTAGGCAGGTAGTGTCGCCTGCAAATGAGAAAGCAGGCTCGAAAATGGACATGCTTCTTGTACAAATGTTCAGAGAACAGGGTCTTAGAAAGCCCCGAACGTGCCACTTCAGCCCCCTGAGACCCAGGGCCTTTACCAGCCAGCAGGTTGCCGGGTGCTGGGGATCCCTCAGCTGCTGCATCCACCAGGCCTCCCCAGCCAACTTCACTTCTGGCAAGAGCATCTGTTTTCCAGTTTATCTGGGAGGCTCTTGGCTTTGCTCTGAAATGTCTGCCTGTAGAAGACCAAGGCTTCATTTGCCAGGTGGGGCTGGGGTGGCTATAAGTGACCTGCCACCTTAGTGGGTAATTTAGCAAATGCACCTGCCCCGCACAGCAGCATCATCAAAGGGCAGCGCAAAATCCCACGGGCAACATCATTCTGCCATCCCCCTGCCCTGGCTCACTGCGGTGTGGGAGCCCTGCCAGGGAGCTGCCATAAAATGCTGGAAAGAGATGATGGAAAGCCCGGCTGAAAATGAGGTCTTTTCCCCCCGTTCACCCTGCTTTGCTGCTTTCTTGGCTTCTGATTTTGTCTTTGATCTTCGATGGTTTCTCTCTTCTTTAATTCCGTTTAACTCATTATGGCACATGTGTTAGGAGTCAGGTGCTCTGTGTCCCGAGGGACACACGAAGACCAAGAAGACAAGACCTCTGCCTTTGGGGGCTCCTATTCTAAAGATTATAAATGTGCGATCCTGAGGAAGCACACAAGGGAGCTTTTTTCCCCCTCAAGACATTTTAGTAAAGAAAAATGGTTTTCTTCACTGCGGGAAAGATGGGAGCGTGTCTTGTAGGCAGTGAGGAGCCACGAGAGGGTTCGGGCCAGGAGGAGAGTGCCGTAGTCAGCTGTGGAGATGAGATGAACAGCCGTAGATGAGATGAGATGCCGTAGTCAGCTGTGGAGATGAGATGTGAAGAGTAGAAGGCAGAGAGGACGGCAGTAGGCACTGGTCTCCGTTTGCAGACCACCTGGTCTCCCAGGGTGGCCCTGCCTGACC